CGTTACAAAGCCTTCATCCAACCGAGGTGACACATGTCTACTTGTCAGGAAATCCAGGATGTGGAAAAAGTGAAACAGCAAGACAAGTTGGAGAGAAATTTTTTGATGAAACTGAGAGTGCTTCGTCGAAGACATTCGTTGCTACACTTAATGCATCAAGCTTGGAGTCATTACTAAAATCGTACATCGATTTTGCTCGTCAACTTCGAGTAGATGAAGAATACATTCAAAATATTCTATCATCGAAGACACATTCACAACCAGAGGATAAAATTTGGCAGTTGAAAGGACTCGTCAATCAAAAATTGACATTTTTCTCCTCGTGGTTAATAATAATTGATAACGTGGTCAGTCTTAAGAAGGTGTCAAAGTTTTTCCCTCATTTTGGGGAAAAGACAACTGCAAAGGCACAAGTCTTGGTGACTACACAAGACGGGCCATCAATTCCTCTTCCAAGTCCTAACTTCTACCACAAATCTCTAAGTGAAGGAATGAAGCCTGAAGATGCTGTTAATGCTCTGTGTACTATCTCACATCAATTTCAAGATAAAGACGTGGTATTTGAAATTGCGAAAGCCCTTGATTATCAACCACTTGCTCTTGCATGTACTGCAGTCTACATGAAATCAGTCTGCAATCAACCTTGGTCGAGCTGTCTTCAAAAGATCTACGAAGGAAAACGTGAAAAAACTGAAAAACAATACCTCGAAACGAACAGTCAGGTCTATTCACAAACAATGACAACAGCTGTGAAGATGGCTTTAGACAGAGTGGTCACAGAAGATGAGGTCATGATGTTTGCACTTCAGATGTTATCAGTAGTTGCACAGGATCCAATACCCATAAAGTACGTTGTTCAATATGTTCTTCTCTGTATGCCTGATGAAGACGAGGAGTTCATCGAAGCTCACATTGCACGCTCTTCTCTCATTCTCAAATCTGATGACGACCAATATGTCCGTGTCCATCAGGTTGTACACGCTGTACTGCAAGACACGGTGAGACATACAGTTGAAGGCGATTGTCTTCGCGTTGCCAAGCTAATCAAATCATTTTCACAGCTAGCTATTAATGATATCGAAGAACCAGATTACGACTTTATCATGTCAATCAAGTCTCTGACCTCTCACTTTGTAACCTTGAAAGAAGTCATTTCTCCGAATCTTCAGCCGTTCATGGCACTGACTAAAAAGGAGGCACTTTGCGTTTCAAAATGTCTCTCGTGTTGTATTGGTAAAGTATGTTACATGAATGGTCAACTAAAAGCAGCAAGAAGCTATCTTGAAATGTCTATTGCCTTAAAAGAACACTTTTGCTCTGGAGAGCGACATTTAATAGAACGAAATACGCTTGGAGAGATTCTTTATGATCTTCAAGACTTCCGGAAATCAAAATTATGTTTTGAACAAGCACTGCCAAGCCATCATTATCAAAGTATCAACAAAAAAAGTGGTCTTGACTGGCGAGTTTTGACTAATCTTTGGTTGACTCTTTCCAAGAAAGAAGTAGGAGAATATCAGAAAGCCGAAAGCTGTTTAAATGAAGCTCTTCCATACATTGCAAAGTTGATCCATCATGCAGATATTCAATATGCAGGGAAGATATTGAACAATATTGCAATGGTCCACTTTTATCTTGAGAACTATGCAGAAGCAAAGAAGTTCATGGAAGAAGCGCTAACAATGGACAAGGAGAAGTATGGTGCTAATCATCCATTTGTATCTGAGAAATACAATGACCTTGCCTTAGTTTTAAAAGCTGTAGGAGAGCATAAAACAGCTGTTGAATATTTGCAAACGGCAGTTCAGATCGGAAAAAGTTGTTATGAAGAAAAACATCCCTACTTGTCAACATACCTTGGCAATCTTGGTAATGTGTTCAGGGAACTCGGAGAGTACGAGGAAGCAAAGAAACACATTGAAGAAGCAATTGCTATTGATGAGTATATCTATGATGAAAACAATCCTGCTTTAGCCATAGATTTGAATAACCTGGCCTTGGTGTTCAGAGATCTCAGACAGTACAAAGAAGCAAAAACACGCATGGAAAGAGCAATTGCTATTGATAAAGTAATATACGAAGAAAACCATCCAACATTAGCCAAGCATTTAGATAACTTTGGTTTAGTGCTTCTAGATCTCGGACAGTACGAGGAAGCAATTAAATGCACAAAGAAAGCATTTGCTATTGGAATGTACTTGCTCAGAGACCTCGGACAGCTGGAAGAAGTGGACAAATGCATGGATAGAGCACTTGGTCTTGACGAACTTGGGGACAACCATCCCGCCCTTGCAATTGACTTTATAAGCATCGGTTTGGTGCTTCGAGATTTAAGAAGGTACGAGGAAGCCAAGAAATGCATGGAAAGAGCACTTGGTATTGACGAACGTATATATGATGACAACCATCCAACATTAGCCACACATTTAAATAGCCTCGGTTTGGTGCTTCAAGATCTCAGACAGTACGAGGAAGCCAAGAAATGCATGGAAAGAGCACTTGCTATTGACGAACGTATATACGATGACAACCATCCAACATTAGCCATACATTTACATAACCTCGGTTTGGTGCTTCAAGATCTCAGACAGAACGAGGAAGCCAAGAAATGCATGAAAAGAGGAGTTGCTATCGCCGAACGTATATATGACGACAACCATCCAGATTTAGCCAAACATTTAAATAACCTCGCTATGGTGCTGAAAGATCTCAGACAGAACGAGGAAGCCAAGGAATGCATGGAAAGAGCAGTTGCTATTGACGAAAGAATATACGATGACAACCATCCAACATTAGCCATACATTTAAATAACCTCGGTTTGGTGCTTCAAGAGCTCAGACAGAACGAGGAAGCCAAGAAATGCATGAAAAGAGCAGTTGCTATCGATGAACATATATATGACGACAACCATCCAGAGTTAGCCAAACATTTCAATAACCTCGCTATGGTGCTGAAAGATCTCAGACAGTACGAGGAAGCCAAGAAATGCATGGAAAGAGCAGTTGCTATTGCCGAACGTATGTATGATGACAACCATCCAAATCGCACATTATTTGTACAAAACATGTATGATTTGCGGAAACAAACAGAAGGCACAAATCTCCATCCAACATTGCAAAACTTGCAAGAGCTAGATGTACTAGTTTATATGCCTCTTGATTAGAACT